TTTAGAGAACTGCAAGCATACGCTGTCCTGTAAAAACAGACAGAAGACGCAGCCTCCCAACGCATAGTGTCAGGGCAAATGTTATAGATGGGACTTGCACGAAGAGGCAGAACAAGGTGGGGGTTACTGAGGATGAGGAGATCAGAGTCATAATCTTTAAGGAAAAGGATGGAGATGAACCATCTTGCGAAGGACTGAATCAATGCCTCCAAAGAAAGCTATGCTAATTGGTTCAAAGTAACAGCAATCCTTGTTCTAAGAGAGTTGACAGTCAAGATAAAAGTAATTTTGGGGTTTATTTTTACTTGCATACAAGTCTGAAGCAGTACCAATCTTTTCCTCACAGCTATGGGCCACATACAAAAGAGGCTTGGACTTCTGCAAGCCAACAGCTGTAGGTCTACTGAAATTTCAAGCAGTGACTCCAGGACAGCCTTATTCTGCTCAAGTGCTGGAATTCTGCTGCCAGAAATTGGGATAAGTCATATCGCAAGAGTGAGAGAAGAGGGGAAAGGAGAGGCTGAAACATCAAATTGTGCTGCAGGCTTTACCGAACCCCTTACAAAACAGCAGGCTTTAGTCAAACATTTCAAACCAATAACGGAAATTGTTCCTGTTCCAGTTCAGATTCAACCAAGATTTCAAAACCACTCGGACTAAGTTAATTAACTCCCACTTTCAGTATGAAAAAAACAAAACACAAATAAAAAACAACCCAAACAAACAATAATTAAAACCAGTTAGAACCTAACTGGTTTGATCCCACTTGCACATCCTTTTTACTTCAAAATTTAGAAAATGCGACATGAAAAATCAACGAGACACAATGTTAGTTTCCCAAGACCATTTCTACAGCAAGATATTATTCTGAAGAACCTAAAATGAACAAACCTCTCTTATTATTTAAGAAGATAAATGAATATCAAACTCATTAGCAGCCCAACAAGTATGTATACAATAAAATAAAGTCTCTCAGATTATAAGTAAACATGATACAGGCTGTAGGTACAATAAGTCAGCCAGCAAAAGCACTGAAGCTAGTGATCACATAGACTCTAAAAGAAGTACTTGTACTCAGCAGCTTACAGTCTAGATAGTCCTGTCTTTTCCCAGTGGATATTTATTTCTTACTAGACAGCTGCACACACTATAAAAGAAATGTTAAAATCAACCTGCCCAAGAAACACAATCATATCTTCAAACAAACCTTTTTTAGGATGGGGTTTTGGAGGTTCTGTAGCCACTGGCAATGAAGAAACCTGAAAAGACAGAAAAGAGGTGTATTAAATATAGGAGGTAAGGTTTCTTGAAGATCTATTCCAGAAAATCAGAAAGGACAACTGCAAATCCCAAAAGAGGGTATAAAAAGAGCATCATTGCTGCTAGACAAACTCTGCCCTGCCAAGCACTGCACTTCCCTAGCCATAGCTAGGTAGAGATTTCTGTTCACCACGCAGATTAAATAAACCCACTCATTTTACAGTACATTCTGTAGGTTCACTTCTATTTATTAGGATTCTAGAAAGTGATCATTACCTTGTAAAAAAACAAAACTCAATCATTTCAGATGCTAATTAGAGATCATACAGAAAAATGTCAAAAACATTTATTACAAAACATTCATAAAGTTAATTAGAACAAAGTTGTTCCTGGGGAACCATCAGAGTCCACAGGCGCATGAGCACAGTGACATCCCATCGCACGGCAGGCAACAAACCTCGACCTGCAAATATTGCCCAGAGCCCATAGACAAGCAGGTACCCAGTCTGTAGAAAATAAATGCACTTTATACTTTTTTCTTATTTTGCATCAAAAATCAAGGCTTCACAGAAGAGAAACATGATTACATGAGGAAGTATTTTTATTTTTGACTTCCAGTTTCTTGGGGAAGAGGCATTCCTCATTCTTCTCCCCCAGACACAACACAGGATTTTATAAACCTATGTCACCTCTCCTTTCCACCTTAATAAACAATTTTTCAAAATAAAGATTCACTCTACCCTTGTTCTTTGTAACATTTTGGGAACATTTTCCAGTTCTACTCTCTTTTTTATTGGAGATGGGGAGGATCAGAGATCCTGAGTACAGCATCTGAGACATGGAAAATAACCTAGATGTACCCAGGAAAGGCTTTTACCAGCTTTGTTTCTTAATAATTTCTAAAATTTTAGTCACTTTTCTGATTCTTGTCGTGAAAAGCTGAGTTGATATTTTCAGAGAATTACCCAACTCCAAGCACTCATTCCTAAGCAGCAACAACCAGCACAAAGCCCCTCATTTTTTCTATATATTTGCAATTTTTTTAATCTGTACACATCATCCCAATTCTAATTCCTATCACTCAGCACTGTTATGATTTCCCTGTAGTTTCTCGTATTTCCTCCTCACCTCAGTAACCTTCTAGCCATCCTTTTACCCAGATCGTTTCTAGATAGGCTGAACAACACAGGCCTGGTACAGATCCCTGCAGGGCTCCATTAACAACCACTCACCATGACAAAAAACCAAACAGTTATTCCTTCTTTCTGCTCCTCACCTTTCAATCAAGTATTTATCCATGAGAGTATTTTTTTTTCCCTTATTCCAAGACCATTTATTTTCCTTAAGAGCATTTGACAATAAGAGATTAGATTGTGCAATACAGCCTGCTCAGCAGGTGGAACGAGGGCAATTTTGCAGGACTACCAAAATACACGGGGAAAAGTAATCTGTGATGGACGTTGAGAAAGGCTTAGGTTTCACTAGATAAACCCAATAAAAGTCAGAATAGGCTGAATTTCCATTATGTTTTCAATACCAAGTGTGTAAAGATTAAAAACTCACTCGTAAAAGCACCTCCCGCCGCCGCCCCGGCCTCCCTTCGCCTTCCCTCTCCCTCCAAGCCCCACCCGGCCCCAGCGCAGA